ATGGCCACCGGGTAAATAAAATGGCTCCCCGCTGTGTTTAGGGACAGATTCCTCGCTATACAGGCGGCGAAAATGGTCGCCATATGGAGGATCTTCGCTGGATGGTGAGTTTTAAGCCCACTGGTACGCATTGAAAGGTTTTCAATGCGTTTCAATGGGCTTTTTATTTTCGCTTTACGATGTTTTCGCTTAACGGTGATTTTCCTGGAACGGATTATCGCCGTTAAGCGAGGCACCACTGTATGTTGCTTTGATTTGATTTCTGTGCTATGTACCATTGATCCAATTGTGTATTTCTGATGGATTCTGTTGTTTCTCCCTCAACTGGTGTTTCCTCCTTCCTCCTCAGATACCACACCACCACCAAATGCTTTTCCCAAGAGCTGGGAAACCCTATGGCACTGTGGAGTGCAGCTGTGGGAGGGGAAGCAGAAAGACAGTCCAGAATCTGCTAGTGTTGGATATGCCACTGAATCTTGGCCAATGCACTGCAAACTTTGAATGGAAACGTGTTATAGAAATCTTTTTAATGACATGAGGAAAATATCTATTATGTATTAAGTGTAGCAATCACAGAGACATAGAATCATAGAATAATGGAGTTGGAAGGGGCCTCCAAGACCAGTGAGTCCAACATCTCTCTCAATGCAGGAATCAAAATTAAAGTGTATCTGACAGATATTGGTCTAACTTTCTCTTGAATGCCTCCAGCACTGGAGGGCTCACCACCTCTTGAGGCATTGATTTCATTGTCATACTGCTCCTATGAAGTTTTTCCTGATATTCAACCTGAATCTGGATTCCTGTAACTTGAGACCATTATGACATGTCCTGCACTCTAGGATGATCAAGAACAGATCCTGCCCTTCCTCTGTATGTTTCATTCAAGTATTTGAAGACTACTATCACACATCTCCTCAGTTTTCTTTTCCTACGGTTAAACATGCCCAGTTCTTTCAGTTGTCCTCATAAGGCTTAGTTTCCAGTCCCTTGATGATCTTTTTTGCCCTCCATTGGACTTCTCAGTTTGTTGACATCTTTCTTAAAATGTGGTGTCCAGAACTGAACACAATACTCAAGATGAGGCCTAACCATTGCCAAATAGAATGGAACTTCATGGGAATGTTATAACAAATAAATCATAATCATTGTTCAAGTTGTATCTGCAGACACAAACCAGTGCAATGATATTCTCAGCTACTGTTGACATCATCAGGAACCAGGCGTGTTCAATACCTCTGAATAATAGACCTGGGTTATAACCATTTGGGGCTGTCAAAATGAACAACCTCTGCATGTCGCTATTCCTACGCCCCACGGGAAATAAGCAGAAACACGCAATCCACCGGAGAGAGCAAGGCAACATGTAGTGCATGAATTGTTTCTGTGAATGGCTCCACAGAAGAAATTAACTCTAAGTAACATTTTCAAAAGCAGCCTGAAATGCCGAGGAGGTGAATCATAGACTGCTTACTCTGCTATAGTCCCTTTGACTCCAGAGGGGACTGGACTAACACAAGCTGTTAGTGAATAGGTGCTTTATAGGTCTCCCACCTTTCCCAATGACCTGATGGGTTGGGAGTCATTCCTCTCATACATATTGACTCATTTCTCTCATACGTATTGCAGTATTCCCATTGCCAAGCTTCAGGGAGGACTTTCAAGAGGGAACAAATGACAATCCATCGTACTACTAACTAGGTGTGCACATTTTAGGAATGAACCGGCTCTGGAAGAACACTCGCTGCATTTTGAACATATATATAATCTTCTTCCCCAGCTCAAGTATGGGGGAAGTCTGTTCTTCTGGATTACAGCAAAATGGTTTGGGAACAGCCTTCTGCCAGTCACAAACTCACCCCCTTTCTGGGAGCAAGTCCTTATGCCGTCGGAACAATGAGTTATTGGCATAATGCTGTACCTGTGAGGCATCTTTGCCTCTAGCCGCCACACCCTAATTGATTTTAAATTAATTAGGCTACATGGCAGGTTAATTCTGAGCTATCAGTTTTAATGATGCCTCTTCTATGAGCTAGCAAAAGAAGGTGGAAAGGGACGAGACGGAATAAAGAGTTTGGTTATGGGAACTGTTTAGGTTTAAGAACAATAACATATTTTAACAGGTATTCATCTCCCAGGAAGGGCTTATTTTGTTGCATACACATGATAGTGAACACCCAGTGAGCCTTTGCTCAGACTCTGCTATGGAAAACTTGGCTTGCTCACTAAAAATAAGTACAGTATCTTAATTAAAGGGTTACGGTGGCACTGAATCTTACACAGCACTCATCACTTACCTTCCATGTGAACCCCAAAACATTCTTGTGGCACAGGGCAGAGATAAATTCACAGAGCAACAGGGTAAAAAAAGAATAATTCTGATGACTACAGCAAGGCCTCCTAAATTTTCTTGCTGTACATTTACTTCTCAGGGCTGCCATTTAAATCAGTCTCCCTATTCACTGATCATAATGCTAAAAATGTTAAGTTCTAAATCATGTATAAATATAATCAAATTACTTGTTCCAATATTTATCCCCCCTTCACCCAGAGACATGGAAATTTGGGAAGAGAGTTATTCTTAATAGCATTACTGCCGCATGTATATAATTAATTAATAATAATTGGGTGCCTTCAAGTTAATTCAGATTTTTAGTGATCCTTTCCAGGTTTTTTTTTCAGGTAGAGGGTATTCAGAAGTAGTTTACCATTCCTTTCTTCTGTGGTCTATGCAGTTTGCCCAAGACCACACAGGTTGGCTCTTCTGGGATGGGCGGGGGGGGGTTGACATAATTTACATTAATTAGACCTATTACATTACAAGACCTATAAATATTAAAGGTCTTAAAGAGTCTCTATGCCATTTATCTACATAGGATTTACTCCTTCTCATTCAAAATATTTAGCAGATTAATTCATATTATGTGGGTTATATAATACAAAAAAGTCAAGCTATATGTTACAAGCTGAAACCAGTAGATATGAACCTAACTGCCCCTCTGTAGCAGCTACAGAAATGAATCATGTCACGATGACCACAACATTTTATGTTTCCCTATCTTTTAAATGTTTTTCTATGATGTTTAAAAAGTTAAAGTTTTTTGACTGACATTTTTGAAATCATCTGCACAATATGTATGGTTTAAAGAGCACTTAATGAACCTTTTGTAAACCAAAGTTGACTTTGTTCTGACTTTTTTTGCCCATAGGAATGCATTAATTAGATTTCAATGCATTCCTATGGGAAAACGCGTTTCGCAAGATGAATTTTTCGCAAGACTACATTAACCGTGGAACAAATTAAATTCATCTTGTGAGGCACCACTGTACTCTTGCCATTTTCAGTAGCAGTAGTCTGCTTGGAGGGTCATCTCGCTTCATTCAAAGTACAGCAAAAAGAAACTTGTATTGATTATGCCTGTTCTCATTTGTATGAACAACTTGTTTCCTCATCTGAGCCTTGCTGATCTTCTTTTATTCTAGTACTGATCCTCTCCTTGATGTCCTGCTGTGTTTATATTCTAATTCCCAATCTCTTAATACATAGTTTCACATCCTTGCATTGGATTTTTAAACCCTGTTCCTGCTCAGACCTCATTTTGGCTGCAGTCTTGAAAATATTCACACCAACATTTGTCTAGGGATAACTATCCATGAATGCATTTCCACTTTGGTTTCTGAATTCTTCAACACAAAAGACTAATGATGGCAAGTAAAAACAGTCAACCATCAGGGATTCTAACTGACCATTTATTCCTGCCTCTACAAGCAATCAGAAGTGATCATGTAGCTGTTCCACTTTTTCTCTCCTAAAAGGTTTTCTCTATTAATAGGGAAACGCAGGAGGCTTACAAGTAGAAGATTACATTATTAGAAAAAGTTTCCCCCAAACCTCTGAGAAAGAGCTAGGATGATGTTGAGGTACAAGCCTCATTTGGAAAAACAAAGAGTAAGACGTAACAGAGCCACTATCTCTGGTGGGTACAGATGGCAATTTCATAGAGAAATAAAATCACCTATAAATATCCAGGTTGGCAAGAGGTGTGTCTCAGGATTTTGTTTGTACAGAAAAATTTTTTCTGAAGAGAGGAATCATTTGTTCATCCCCTTCTGCGTCTTGATTGCATGAAGACATTCTTTGTCCATGGCCAGCTGCTTTATCTTACAGTCTGGGATGAATGCTAAGAAGGCCAGCATATCATCTGAACAATTTGTCAAAAGCACAAATAGCAATTTGGCATGCCATTGTGATCCTTTTTAGGTTTAGATTAAACAGAGGTGGTCCAAACTGCAGTTTTTCTTGTGATAAATGATTCAGATGATCCGCAAGCTGCATACATTTAATAACAAGCAGAAAATTAAGCATTTTGTTCCAGTAGTTCTAAGAATCATCCCTTCTTTAGTCTTCTTCTGACTACAATTTTAACTGTGTAGGGTGTGCCCTGTGCCTCTATTGTGTGCCTCAAAGGAGTGAGTTTGCAGCATTTACACTATCTTCAGACATTCTTCTGCAAACACACAGGCACACACTATTGGCTGCATTACTTGTGTATTTAAGGATGTGTGACTCCCTTCCCAACATTACAAAATCCCTACAAGTCTCACTGGTGTAAATATGGCAAATATGCCTGCTCTCCTTAAATGATACTTGACTCCTGATGGACTCACATTCTGGCTTCAGGCTCTGAAACAACAGGTACAAGGCATGCCTTAGCTAAGCTCCTAATAGTACTCATAATGCAGGTCCATTTGTTCTTTTCTTTTGCAAAGCAAGGATCAAATCTAAAGTGCTTTTATCAGGTTACACCCACTGGGGATTCTTACTAGCATACAGTTCTCAGCAGAGACTCTAGACCTAGTTTGTTTTATATGTGTGAATTTCTCTCTTCTAAAAGCACTGACCTGTTATGGAAAGAAAAATGTGACAGCATAAATATCAAAGTATGATGATGGATGGACTGTGAATTTGCTCTGTTCTGGGCCCATCCTGCATCTCTTACCATTCAATGCTCAGAGACCTGGGGCGGAAGGCTGGCAGCTCAGCCGAGCCATACTCTGTTTTCCTCCTCTTCTCCTGCTTCTGTTTTACTGACAACCGGTGTGTGAACTTAGAAAGGCTGCTCTCAGACCTGAGGAAGGGGGAAAGGAGAGGCGTTAACTTCATCACAGCATCATGGCAACCAAAGGGAATTGCAGGAACAAGAGGCCAAGATGGAGAAGGGCTAGAAGCTAAGGTCCAGAGAAGAAGGGAATGAAATAGGGTATTCATGGGGCCAGCTATTATAAAACAAATTAATCCCCAGTGTAAATGAGTGTAATTTACTCAAACTTCATCAGGACCTACCCAGGTAAGAATGTCTAGTATGGATTTCTTCTGTGCTTGGATGATGGATCACTTAAAGATCAAAGTGGAGAAGGTGATTGGGGTGAACAGCTTCAGTGACCTCTCCAGATTAACAAGTCAGAAATCACACAGACTGATAAAGGACTGTTAGAGCCATTTGCATCAACAAGCCTTAGAGCAGTCTGGACATCCTGAGCGTTCTTCCAGGGTGGCAAAAAGGAAGTTAAATAGGCAGCTAGTATGTGATTTGGATAATATAGGCTATAGTGGTTATTGGTGATTCTGCTCTGCATTCGCGATTGAGAACGGACTAAAAAAATGTAGAGGAGGGCTTTGCTTAGTATTAATGAACCTCCCAAATGCCATGAAAATGCAGGGCAAAGTGTGTTGTAAACCAGAAGAGGCTACATGTTTAGTACTACCCAAGACTTGAGAGGCAGGAAAAGAGAAGACATTTGATGAAATACAGAGAATATATTATATAGTCATGAAACAACACTTTTAAAATGTGTATACAAGTCAGACCAATGGTCCATTTAGCTCAATGGCTTCTCTGATGAACAACAGGTCTTCTGGGTTTCCAGCAGAACACCTGCTCACTATCTACTATCCAACATCCTTTAACTGGAGATATTTTAGCATCTGATTTGGGTTATGGAACTATTTGGTACCATTAGACCAAAGTAATCCATCAATGATACTTGCAATGTACAGGTAGGAAATGTAAGCCTTGAATAATTAAGCATTTATTTTCAAGGCACTCACTTATCTGGAACAAAGAATATCACAGTTATCAAATCATTTGGCTTAAAACGACCATGTGAGTCATTCAAACTTTCAATGAACAAATTACTCACATTAATGGCTGAAATCCTGTTCCACAACTGTACATTGTACAATGAGGATTATGTCAACAGCCACAGTGGTTGTGTCTGTGTCAGAGAAATAACAAACTTTATAGAGCCCCTCCAGGTTTCAGGGATCCCTAGAGACTCCCTTTGACCTGGGGCTGGCTTCAGGTGTGGTGGAACGGAAGGGGGAGGGAACATTGTAAAGCTGGAAATTCAGGGATCTCTAGGAATCCCTGACAACATGTGGGGGAGGTCTAAGACTTCTTAAAATTTATTGCCCTGAAACAGTCACAGGATGGCTGTGTAATGAGTATGATGGCTTACATCATACTCATTACACAGCATAAAGCTGCACAACAGGATTCCAGCTAATGTGTGCTGGAAAATAGAAATGACCCCATACTTATAAACTGAACCTGCATTTGCATTGGAGCTCAGAGGAAAACAGTAGCCTCAGAAATAATGTAGATGTTCTGGTCAGTCAGACAGTATATAACCAACCCATCAAAATGGCCCTCAAAATTACACAGAAGGGAGTGAATTTATGGTCTATCACTCTATGTAAAAGTTCCAGTCTACAAGGACAGGAGACACAGATTCAAGAGCCCAGCCATGTATGGGCAATATATCAGTTAGAAGAATTCCCAAAAGTCTGACCTGGAGTGCTACTGATGACAAAATATTGAGCCTGGTGGTTGTAAAGAGCCTCGTGGCGCAGTGGTTAAACTGCTGTACTGCAGCCAAAACTGTGCTCACGACCTGGGGTTCAATCGCAGGTAGCCGGCTCAAGGTTGACTCAGCCTTCAATCCTTCTGAGGTCAGTAAAATTAGTACCCAGCTCGCTGGGGGGGGGGGCAATGTGTAGCCTGCATAATTAACTTGTAAACCGCCCAGAGAGTGCTTGAAGTGCTGGTGAAAACAGATCTTGTCTACTACATCTTGTCCATAGTTTTCCATTTTCAAACTTATATAGCTTGTGAGTTCAAGGTGTTTATGCAGGTAGACACACAGACACACAACTAACTGAAAGTTCTATCCACATGATTCAAGTTTTTATTAAGGAGTGTGGTCACACCTTAAAACATAACACATACATTATGGAAGGAGTATTTATAGACTGTTGTCTGCATTTCCAGGAGGGTTCAGGCCTTAAGAAGTCATATAGCAAAATAGGGTTCTCTGATATCTCTTGAAGTACATGATACTCTCCTGAGGTTATATTATGAAAATTCAGTTCTTCATAAAACCCCAGGTTATGAAAGTGGGGTACTGTGCTTCTGTATCCACAATTCAAAACACAAGGAAATGGCCCAATATTGCTACACAAGATCATGCTCATCTTGCCAGGAAAAACAGTGGCAACCTTTAAACAGCAAAAGGCAACCTGAATGTTGACAAAACGAATGGCAGAATGGCAGCAGTCACAGATACTCTCTGGTAATCACAACAATTCACAACATGACACCAAGCAAAGAAAATCCCAAAGGCTGACTCCTTTTTTCATCCGTTAGCCACTTCTCAACCAAAGAGAAACCAATAGTCATGGCTGTTTTCAACAAGTATAAATGATAGTGGACTGTTCTGGACTGAATTAAATGGTGAAGCAAAGGTGTGAGTAATTGCAGCACCACCTGTCAGATGGACTTTGATTTGGATTCCTGCACAGCAGGGGGTTGGACTCAATGGCCTTATAGGCGCCTTTCAACTCAACTGTTCTATGATCCTATGACATACAATGGAGAAACATACACATTCTTTAACCTCTCAGGAAAACTGATGTTGCCATTTCTGCTTTGCAGAATGCAGACTAGAAAGCTATGTTCCAATCTCCAAACCCTTTCCCTTGGGTAGGCCACCCGAGGAAGAAAAGCTATACTGGACCCAAAGCTCTACAAACATATTACGTGCATGTTTTCCCAAAGATTCCCCCTCACCTTTTGAAATAATACAAAAGGAGGACTTAACAAAGATTGTCACTGGAAACTAAGGTCACAGTCATCCACACTATGTGACAGAAAGACAGTGAAGAAAGACAGGGACAAAAATCAACTCATTTTAAATGTGATGTTGGAGGAAAGTCTTACCACAAATGGGCAGAAGGGCAGAAAAGTGAGTGCTCAAACAAATCAAACCTGGTTTAAATGTGATGTTGGAGGAAAGTCTTACAGATACCACAAATGGGGAGAAGGGCAGAAAACTGAATGCTCAAACTAATCAAACCTGGTCTCTCACTAGAGAAAAAACAGAGTAAACTGAGGCTATCCTATCATGCATATATTATGGAAATACAGAAGTGATTAGAATAGACTATGTTGCTGGGAAAAGTGGGGTGATACCAGAATTCCTTTGAAAGCATGAATGTCTGTTTGGAAGGAGTTAAAAAGCTCTCCTCTTGAGAATTAGCTAATTGGATCAGATTGCCCCAGACCTGAATCTGATTACCCATTTGAAGACTTTTCAGGAGCCTAGGCTCAGAAACCCTGAGAGAATGTTTACCGAAAGCAGAAACACAACTGCTCTGTGCTTTTTAATGCAGAAATACTTTGACTATGTCTTACATAATTGTATGCTAATTTCCTGGAGATACATGGCAAAATGTGCCTTTCTGGAGGACTGTCATTCCTTTACTTTCTTTAAGGCAAGCTTTTTTATTTTTTGCCTTGTTAAAGAATACATTTGACTCTGTTTCTGTGACCTTTTTATTGCTATACAGCCTCCTCCTGCCATGCAACTACAATACTGTATCTACCTTGGAACAGTCCTGCTGGTGTGTCTGTTCCATGCATGCTCAGTTTGTTAGAAAGTTACTGATTTTCCCTTTTAAAAGATCTTTTTTGGGCTCAACATTTTAGCCTATGCAGCTTTGATTCTTCTCAAATAAAAAAGGGTGTAAGGCTAGCCATTTTCTTTCAAGATAAGCAAGAAAAAAAATTTCAGTGTAACTGATCCATCTGAAATCTGGGGACTTTTTAAAGTTGCCTATTTCTGCAAGGGGACGAACAGTTTTACTTTTTAAAAAATTACAATTTGAGTGCATAAATATCCCCAAGTTTGTCACAGAGCAAGAGCACACTGTCTTCTACAACGGTCCCAAATTTGATGCTTATCCAAAATCACACAGCAAAGTTATAATTTTTGTTTGGGCTGCCATACCCCAAAAACAAAACAAAACAAAACAAAAAACCCACAATTTTTTGTTTTAGAATTGCCATACAGTAGGTTGATTTACTCTGCTGCACAATAATATTGTGGCAATAATAAAACAGACAACCCACATGCTGGTTTCTGCCCTTCAGTTTAATCCAAGGTTTCTCAATTAGTGTCAGAATATCTCCAGAGTGTGGCTGCCACATGCAAAACTCTCCTAACCTCCACTCCTAACTTGGGTCTGTTCCTGCCTTTCTTTTCTGGCTATCTTTGACATTTTACCTCCATGGATAGATACTGTGATTCTAAATCAACCCTGTCAAAGATTCTTGAATAGGAAGTTATGCAAGGCCATCCAGAAGGTGAGAGTAACGGAGCAGGTCATGCTACCTAGTTGAAGTAGGTGGTTCATTGAGCTCAAAAAGGCATTACTGGGCTTCTTCTTGAAGGTCTTCTTTCAGCACAGGAAACTGCCACCCCACTGCAGTGATAAAAGCTACTTAGCACTGATATAGTGCATTCACTATATTCCCTTTGTGGATGAACACTTTAACACAGCAAGGGGGTCTGGGTTGCCAAAGAAACAAAGGAGAACCAAATAATTGTTGGAAAAGGAAGCTGGAGAATGACTCGGAATTCCGTGAGGCCAGCAATCAGTTTGCTGCAAGCAAACATTTCAAGCAACCAACCAGACAACTGTACATATACATGAATATCACCAAACAGACTATGTAAATAGTAGTTGGAGATGCTGTATTCTCTCTGTTTAAACAAGACCAGGAGTAGA